GGTTCCACACGACCATTTTTAGGATAGGACAGTATCATTTTAAGGTTCTACTATATCATTTCAAGGTCTAACTATGTCATTTTAAGGTTTGACTATATCAGTTTTAGGATTGGACAGTATCATTTTAAGGTTTGAATATATAATTTGAAGGTTTGACTTTATCATGTTAAGGATTGGAGAGTATCATTTTAAGGTTCGACTATATCACTTTAAGGTAAGAGTATATCAGTTTAAGGATTTGACAGTGTCATTTAAAGGTTCGAGTATATCATTTTAAAGATTGGCCAGTATCATTTTAAGGTAAGACTATATTGGTTTAAGGATTGAACAATATCATTTAAAGGTTTCAGAATATCATTTTAAGGATTAAACAGTATCCTTTTAAGGTTCTACTACATCATTTAAAGGGTCAACTATATCATGTTATGATAGGACAGTATTATTTTAAGGTTCTATTATATCAATTTAAGGTTTGACTATATCATTTTAAGGTTTGACTATATCATTTTTAGGATTGGAAAGTATCATTTTATGGTTTGACTATATCATTTTAAGGTTCGACTATATTATGTTAACAATTGGACAGTGTCATTTTAAGATTCGATTTTATCATTTTAGGATTCGTCTATATCATTTTAAGGATTGGACAGTATCATTTAAACATTAGACTATATGATTTTAAGGATTGGACAGTATCATTCTATCATCTGAGGTATTGGACAGTATCATTTTAAGGTTTGACTGTATAATTTGAAGGTTTGACTTTATCATGTTAAGGATCGGACAGTATCATTTTAAGGTTGGACTGTATAATTTGAAGGTTTGACTTTATCATGTTAAGGATCGGACAGTATCATTTTAAGGTTGGACAATATCATTTTAAGGTAAGAATATATCAGTTTTAGGATTTTACAGTATCATTTAAAGGTTTGAGTATATCATTTAAAAGATTGGACACTATCATTTGAAGGTAAGTCTATATCAGTTAAAAATTGGACAGTATCATTTGAAAGTTTGAGAAAATCATTTTAAGGACTGGACAGTATCATTTTAAAGTTTGACTATATCATCTTAGGGATAAGATAGAATCATTTTAATGTTCGACTATATCATTTTAAGGATTGGACAGGTCATTTGAAGGTTTGACTGTATCATTTTAAGGTAAGACTAATATCTTTTTAAGAATTGGACAGTATCATTTAAAGGATTGGACTGGATCATTTTAAGGTTTGACTATATTATTTTCAGGTTCAACTTGGTCATTTTAAGGATTTGACAGTATCATTTTAAAGTTCGACAATATCATCTTACGGATTGGACAGAATCAATTTATGGCTCAGCTATATCATATTAAGGATTGGACAGAATCATTTCAAGATTTGACAATATCATTTTAAGGTTTGACTATATCATTTTAAGGATCGCATATATCATTTAAAGGTAAGACTATATCAGTTTAAGGATTGGACAGTATCAATTTACAGTTCAAATATATCGTTTTGAGGATTGGACAGGATCATTTTAAAGTTTGACTGTATCATTTTAAGGTTACACTATTTCACTCAACTCAATTCTCTCCATACACTCAACTCAATTCAACTTTCCCTGTGCACTCAACTCAACTCTTCCCTTAGCTCAACACAACTCTTCCCGTACACTCAACTCAACTTACACTTTACACTCAACTTATAACCATACACCATTTCTCCCTGTAACCTCAATTCAACTCTGTCTGTACACACAACTCAACTGAAATTTCCCCATACACTCAACTCAACTCTTCCCTTATGCTGAATTCAACTGAACTCTCCCCGTATGCTAAACTCAACTCTCCCAATACAGTCAACAAAACTCTCCCGGTATGCTCAACTCAACTCTCCCCATACAGTCAACTCACTCTCCCCGTACACTCAGCTTAAACTCTCTCCGTACGCTCACACCAACACAACTCCCCACGTGCACTCAACTCAAATCTCTGTATGCTCAAAATCAACACAACTCTCCCTGTACACTCAACTCAACTCACCGCACACTCAACTCAAATCTCCCCATATACGTAACTCAACTCTCCCTGTAACCTCACTTCAACTCAAATCTTCCAGTACGCTAAACAAAACTCTACTCTCCCTGTACACTCAACTCACCCCGTACGCTCAACTCTCCATGTACTCTAAACTCATCTGTCCCTGTATGCTCAACTTTTAACTTAAAATGTGATTAACATGTCTAAATAGTTATGAATAAATTGATTTTTACCTTTTATTGGTTCGATTTAAGACTGTCCATTTATCTGGTCACTCTACAATATTTAGTGAGCTGTCCGTCCAAAATTGACACGATTGACATCTGTAATGAGAAAATTAAATCACATTTTCAAAAGGTTTCTACAGAAAAAAGGAAATAAGATTTTTGCATGAGAATATAATTATGTGCCTTTGAAATGTTTAACAAAAATATACAATCACACAAGCACTCCAAGAAAACATTTCTGAAATGATCTACTCCTATATCATTGTAGATAATGCATATGCCACTTCATTTACAATTGGTTTAATTAAAGGTACATTAACCTTGATATATATTTATATATATTTTGAATAAAAGAGTTAAAGATAACTTAACAAGAGCAGTCGGTAGGACAGGATGGAAAAGGGCAAACAAATTTTCAAGTCCATGTTACTTGGCCTTGGAGAGTGACCAATCATAGTATTAAATAAGTGTATAAAATTTCAAAAATATTTCAAAGCCAGATGTCAATGGAATACGAAAATATTTGAGGTCGTACGCAAACTTTAACTGAAATTCTAATTTGAAAATGGGGCATAATTCTGTTGGGTGCATAATGGTTAACTAATGCGCAATGTTTCAAAGCCATTAAAGTCAATGGCCTTTGAAAATATTTGAGGTGGTACGTAAACTTTAAAATAAATTTTAAATAAAAAAAAATGACATAATTCTTTTAAAATGCTTGATAGAGTTACCCCTTCCTATCTACAGGTTGGGGGCATAGTGGTAAACAAGCGTTCAAAGTTTTAAAGCCAGAATGTGATTGGACTTAAAAATTATTTGAGGTGGTACGCAAACTTCAACATAAGTTATTACAGTGATGCTCAGATGACTGGGATAGCTCTACTTATTCTCATCAAAGTATAAGTGGTTAAGTTTGCGACATGAAAATATATACAACTTTTGCAATTGAAATTATACACAAATATTTAATTGCCCAAAAGATATTTTCTTTTTAGACAAACTTTCTTCTATCATTTGAAAACATGTTTTCATAAATAATCTTACATAAATAAGTTTTACTGTTCAGGTATTGAGAATAATTTTTCTCAATGCTTGTTTGTTAACAAATTACAAATGTTTTAATGAATCAATATATGTGTTAATAACACAAAACGTTATCATATAACAAAAGAATGTTTCAAAATAGGACAAAGAAATGTGTGAAAAACTAGCAATATATATTTCAAACAATTATATAAATAATAAAGATACTAAACAACTGAATAGAACCATTACAACTAGAGATCACTAAATGTGATTAAGCCCCCGCAAGACTACTTCTGAAATGAGGAAGTTACTAGTAACAGAATACCAAGTAAAAGAATTGAAATAGTTATTAAAGCTAGTTGTGGTTCTTGTACATTGAATTTTCTTTTACTGTGGTTGACCATTGATAAAGTTTTATTGAATTACTCTGTTATCAATCCAGATAGAGTTGCATTTCTTTAGCACTGCACTTCCTCTCAATGCGCTTGACCATTGCATGAAGTTGTATTGAATTCCAGTAACAGTTTATTATAACAATATAATATTATGCACTGGACAAGACAAAGTAACAAATGGCAATAACTATGTAATTATATAGTCCAACAAGGCAGTCTGAAGGACAGCTAAATCCCCTTCCGCAGTAAACATGAATGTGTACTTCTTGACCTTTTACCAACCACGACCTTGATGTTGTGCCATGCATATCATAAGCACATAGTCTCATGATGGTGTTTATTTGCGCCAAGTTATTTAAAATCTTCCATAAAGTAAAATGCTATGGAGAACATATAACCATGACCCTGGGGGTATTTAAAAGTTATGGAAGGGACATGAAATGTAGACTTTTTTACATTTGACCTTTAAGTGTGACCTTGACCTTGGGGGAAGCAACTCAATTATTGCACTCTGCACATGTTCTTATAATGGTGATCAATTGTGCCAAGTTATTTTTTTTTAAAATTGCAGTAGTTAAAAAGTTATGGAGCAGACACAAAATGTAGACTTTAGAATTTGACCTGAAAGTGTGACCTTGACCTTTTGGATAGCAGCTCTGCACATCTTCACATTATGGTGATCACTAGTGCCAAGCTATTTAAAAGTAATTTCCGCGGTTAAAAAGTTATGGAGCGGACACAAAATGTAGACTTTATATAAAAAAATGAAGACTTTTAACATTTGACCTTTAAATGTGACTTTAACCTTGGGGGTAGCAACCAAATTCTTGCGCTCTGCACATCCTCTCATTATGGTGATCATTTGTGCCAAGTAATTTATGAAAATTTTCAGCAGTTAAAAAGTTATGGAGCGGACACAAAATGTAGACTTTTTATTATAAAATGAAGACTTTTTAAGGTTTGACCTTTAAGTGTGACCTTGACCTTGGAGGTAGCAACCAAATTCTTGGGCTCTGCACATCCTCTCATTATGGTGATCATTCATGCCAAGTTATTTCAAAAACTTTTTGGTGTTTTAAAAGTAATGGAGTGGACACAAAATGTAGACTTTTTATTATGAAATGAAGACTTTTTTAAGTTTGACCTTTAAGTGTGACCTTGACGGAAGCAACCAAATTCTTGCGCTCTGCACATCCTCTCAATATGGTGATCACTTGTGCCAAGTTAATTTAAAAAAATTTCAGCGATAAAGTTATTACATTTCAAGCCACGCACAACACAAACTGAAAATTGCAAATTTTCACTAAGTCAAAGGCAGTAACTCTGACAAAATATATAAATTCACAAGCAAAACCCCAGGTGCACAACTTCACATGCTGAGCAACATTCCCTTAAAGTTTCATGACACCATGTCAAATTGTTTTTGAGCTACTTGCGACACAAAAGAAAACAGAGGGAAGGACGGACAGAAGGACATGCAAGGGTTAATCTTATTGCCACAGCCCCTTAAGTGGGTGCACAAAAAGAACAAGAGCACCGCTAGGCAGAACATTATATGCCTGAAAGGGTTTTTTTTTTAAGTAAGAATGAAGCATTTGTAAGACTTTACATTAATTAAATAAAGTATTAACCCCTTCAAATAGCAATGCTATAAAGTTTGAATATTGTGGGCCAAATGGAATTTAAGTTATGCTCTGGAAACTGTTTTCAGTTTTGAGGTAATAGCGACCTTGAACTTTGACCTTGTGACCCCAAAATCAATAGGGGTGTTTTACCCAATATGGACAATCATCCTATGAAGTTTGAATATTGTGAGCCAAACAGAACTTAAGTTATGTTCCGGAAACTTTTTTCGTTGTTTGTTTGTTTCATTTTACGCCTTTTCCAACAGTATTTCAGTCATATAGGCGGGTAGTTTCCTAACCATTGTTCCTGGAGAGTTACACCAGCACTAGACAAACTTCCTCCACGCTAAACTACCAAAGCATCTCCAGGGATCGAACCCACGCCAGAGAGGTAACTGGATTAGAAGTCATCGACTCTAACCCCTCAACCACGGAGGTGGTGCTGAAACTGTTTTCAGTTTTAAGTCAAAAGAGACCTTTGACCTTGCGACCCCAAAATCAATAGGGGTCTTCTACCCAATATTGACAAACATCCTATTAAGTTTGAATACTGTGGGTCAAAAGGAACTTAACTTATGCTCCGGAAACTGTTTTCAGTTTTAAGGTGATAGTGACCTTGACCTTTGACCTTGTGACTTTCAAATCAATAGGGGTCTTCTACCAATTATAGACAATCATCCTATGAAGTTTGAATACTGTGGGCCAAATGGAACTTAAGTTATGCTCTGGAAACTGTTTTCAGTTTTAAGGTGATAGTGACCTTGACCTTGTGACTCCAAACAGACAGACGGACGCCAGGGGGTATAACATAATATGCCGGAAATTCTTTTGGGCATATAAAAACAAACAGAAAAACATTTCTTCTTTTTTTCAAATATTTGTATTTGTTTCTCAATGTTCAAATATTTGGTAGAGTTTCAAATATTAGAATAAAATTCCCAGCCCTAATTTTAACCATTAGATCATAGCGACAGAAAACAAGGGACATAAGGAATCAGAGGAGAAGGCTGTCGTTTGTCAGGTACATTCTCCTTACCACTGTTAGTGTGATATCAATGATTTTATGAAAGTAAGAAAGCATGCAGATAAGTCACAGTGTCGGAGGTTCTAAAACTAGTGTGCCACTTGCATTTTTAGTCAATCTGATACATTTATGTTTAACAGCAAGTTACATGTATAAGCATGACACATCATTAAATCAATATTTTAGACAATAGCATAAACCTAGTTTTAAGTAACCACTGACATTTCATTCATAAAAAGTAATTGGCTTGTCATATAAAACTGACAAAGATTTAATCAGGATTTTAATCTACCAAGTCATAAAAGCCCAATTACATAATGAAAAATTATTAAAATATGTAGACTGTTTTAACCCTTAACCTATTGCATCCGAAAAGATTATCATTGGTCGCAAGTATAGAGCAAGGTCAGCCTGCATGTCTGTGAAGGGTTATAGCTATACCATTGTAGCATTATTTTACATCTTGATAATGCAATCTCTTAAAATATTTGAATGGACTGTTTCAAAGCAGGACAATGAATTCAGTAGGTTAAACAGAGCAACAGATAAGCTTTAAAAGTGAATTGGGTATTACTCCATCATTTCCTTTGGAATTGGGTATTGGCTCCATTTAATTGGGTATTCCAAAACTCAATACCCTATGATTTCAAGATCAATTTGGTATTCAATTATGAAGATATGAATATGATAGCGAAAATAGGATTAGCAAATTACTAGAACTTTTCACAATTGTTTTATGCTTTATATAAAATGCTCATGTTATATTTCATAATATTTTTAACAAGTTCATTTTCTGACTGATTTTTGATTATTTACGACTGTTATGTTTCAAATCAGTTTCCCTTATGTATGACGCCATATTGCTTTCGAAGCGTCTATTGATACAGCTGGGACCTACTTATTGACGTCTCTGCAAAATAAACGGTCTCTGCCGGTCTGTAAAGACCATCAACCAGAGTAGACAAATCGACGGTCTCATGCTTTATTGATATGGCTAAGTCGGTCTTTCGAGACCAGGGACCGTCAAAGACCGGAAACCGTTGATTAGTTAGCATTGATTCGGGAATATTCGGATAGCATGCCTTCAATATAATTGGTCCAGAACAACTAGCATACGACAGATTAACTTTACGGTGATGAAAATGACAATACGCATGAGTTTTTAAGACAATTGCATATTTTATTTTTTTAAATGGGATATGATACGTATTCTTAAATCAATTGCGTATTTTATAAAATTAATTGCGTAAATACGCAAATACCCACCTTATCTGTTGCTCTGGTTAAAGGTTAAAGAAAGGAGAGTAACAAAACTGTAATAATCCAAAAATAAGATAAAAATTTCTCACCGGAGCATTTCCTTGACCTTGACCTCCATTACTGTTGATGATGGTATAGGGGGCATTAGTTGCCTGGAGGATTCTTTCCTCTATGTCTATCAGAAACTGGGAATATCCAGTTGTGTCAAAACCCTGATCACTCTACAGCCCACAACATTGTTCTTCACAAATTTGGGGTCCCTTGCATGTAGCTTTAAGGATATAGGCAACACCAGGTACTCCAGGGACTAGAAATTAATAAAAGAAAAAAGTTCAAAAACCAAAATAGGATTCTAGTTTTGACATTTTTCCAAAACGTTTATTCAGCAAGCTTGTCATATTTTAACAATTAGCCTGTTGGCAGCAACTTCAGGGTTCCCACAAAGAACAGAAAATTATGACAATTTAACCAAAATTCAATCATTTGACCCTGATGCCAGATGGTCACGGTCATGTTAAAGCTCAAAGTCAAGGTCAGTTCAACCTTTTTGAAGGTGTAATCCAAAAGGTTGTTTTGTCCAAGCATGAAAATTATTAATTTATTATTTACCATGTTATAGTCAAATATATCAACAAGAGGGCAATGATGGCTCTGAAGTCGCTCACCTGTATATAGGCCCCCTGGAGCGGGGCCAGTTTAAACCCCAGGGCTTTTATTTGAACAAACTTGGTAGACACCCATTAGAAGATGTTTCATGCTAAACATCTAAGGTCTAGCTTGTTGGGTTTTTTAAAAGAAGATTTTTTAAGTTTTTTCTTTACACATATTTAAAAACAATGACACCCCTGGGGCAGGGCCAGTTTTGACCCCAGGGCTTTTATTTGAACAATCTTTGTAGACACTTCCTGGAAGATGTTTCATGCTTAATATCTAAACTCTAGCTATTCGGGTTTTTTCGAAGAAGATTTTTAAGTTTTTGCTATACACATATAAGGAAAATCAATGTCCCCCAGGGCGGGACCAATTTTGACCCCAGGGCTCTTATTTGAACAAACTTGGTAGACATCCATTAGAACATGTTTCATGCTAAATATCTTAGCTCTAGCTCTTTGGGTTCTTTAAAAGAAGATTTTTAAGTTTTTACCATATGCATATAGGAAAAATCAATGACCCCCTGGGGCGGGGCCAATTTTGACCCCAGGGCTTTTATTTGAACAAACTTGGTAGACACTCACTAGAAGATGTTCCATGCCAAATATCTAAGCTCTATCTCTTTGGGTTATTTAGAAGAAGATAATTAAAGTTTTTTCTTTTGGTTGCCATGGCAACCAGAGTTCTACATGGAATTAAATTCTTTGAACAATTTTCAAAGGTGACCACCAAAGGAACATTCCTGTGAAGTTTGGTTGAAATTGGCTTAGTGGTTTATGAGGAGATGTCATTTAAAGTAAAAGTTTACAGACGCCGGCCGGACGCCGGACAAAAAGCGATCACAAAAGCTCACCCTGTCACAAAGTGACAGGTGAGCTAAAAATCAGTGAAAATTCATTAATTTCACCTTCAAGGTCAAAGTCATAAATGAGCCATGGTCAATTTGAGTTTGATATACATAAAGGTCATATCCTAATAATGTGTTTTAATATGAAGACGATCGCTCATTAATAACAAAGTTATTGCCAAAAATGGCAAAAAAAAAATCAATAATTTTACCTTCAAGATCAAAGTCATTTATGAGTGAAGGTCTGTCTAGTTAACTAATAAAGGTCTATTCTCAAAGATTGTTGTTCAAGTAAGAAGACATTTCATTCAAAAGTTAAAAAGATATACAGAAGCACAATATGAAATCAAGGGCCAGCTTAATGTGAACAATTTTGTCACCAAGGAAATTTTTGTGTACAATTGTTTCAAAATTGAACCAGTGGTTAAAATGTTGTAAATATGTTATTTTCTAATTTTAGCAGTCTGGCAGCCATTTTATTAAACAGTTCAACCTGTCACTATTCTCAAAAAATAGAGAAAATCAAAACATCACAAAAAATACTGATCAACAGTACATATAAGAAAACTCAATGACCCCTGTTGCCAAGCCAATTTTGGAGCTAGGGGTTTCATTTGATCAAACTTGGTAGGCATCCACTAGAAAGTGTTTAAAGTTTAACAAATTTTGCAAAGTGGTTTAGGAGGAGAGGTTGTTTGAAGAAATTGTTGACGCATGGATGCACAGACAGACGCACAGACAATGGGCCATCACAGAAGCTCACCAGTTGAGGAAGATTTGTCCTTAGGTGAACTACAAAAAAATTGTCAGTTTTTTAATGAAACTATAATTATCTTCATATTGTGGCCACTTATAGTGTGTATGGTTTTAATCATTACATATGAGCCGTGTCATGACAAAACCAACATAATGCATTTGCACCCAGCTTCCAAACCCTATAAAAAGTAGGGAAACTGATAGCGAACAGCATGGATCCTGATAAGACTGCGCGGATGGGCAGGCTGGTCTGGATCCATGCTGGGTGCAAACCAATTATGTTGGTTTTGTCATGATGCGGCTCATATTTACTTTATGTGACGTCAAACCTTGTTTATTCTATATTTATGAAGAGACTGTGAAGCACTTTTATCAATTTTTTTTTAAATCAAATTTAAAATACTTATATTCATATTCTTTTAAATTGCTGGTTAAAACAATTTAGATAAGATAGACTGGCAGGACATTTTCACCCTATCACCAGGATTTGATAATTTCAGTCCCCAGGGTCTGATACTTTCAGTTCCCAGTCTGAATATGAATAAGAGGGCCATGATAGCCCTAGATTGCTCACCTGACCCATAGAACTCATCCAAACAATTACCTAGACAAGCATTCTGACCAAGTTTCATGACAGGTGAGTCAAAAATGTGACCACTAGAGTGTTAACAGGGATTATCCATATTTGAGCAGTGTGACCTAGTTTTTTACCCAGGTGACCCATATTCCAACTTGACCTAGAAATCATCAAAATAAACTTTCAGATCAATTTCCAGGATACTTTGATCAAAACAGTAGCCACTAGAGTGTTAACAAGATTTTTCTATTTTTAGCTCCGGTGACCTAGTTTTTCATGTGAGATGACCCATATTCGATCTCATTCAAGCAATTACCTAGACAAGCATCCTGACCAAGTTTAATGATAATTGAGTCCGAAATGTGACAACTAGGATGTAAACAAGGTTTTTCTATTTTTAGCTCCGGTGACCTAGTTTTTCATCCGAGATGACCCATGTACGACCACCTCCGAGCTATCAACTAGATAAGCATCCTGACAAAGTTTGATGATGATTGAGGCAAAAATGTGACAGCTAGAGTGTTAACAAGGTTTTTCTATTTTTAGCTCCAGTTACCTAGTTTCATCTGAGATGATCAATGTTCAAACTCATCCAAGCTATCAACTAGATAAGAATCCTAACCAAGTTTGATGATGATTGAGGCAAAAATGTTACTGCTAGAGTGTTAACAAACAAGTGTGGATGGATGACGGACATTCAACAATTCTAAAAGCTCACCCTAAGATTCATAAACTTCAGCCCAAGCCTAAGTCTAACACCAGTACTAATTGGTTATTTTGTATTATCTGTTGGATAAATAATAATTATTATGTAATTAGTCATAATTACACAAAAGTCTATATTTTGTTTCTTTGTTTGTTTGTTTCATTTTACGCCTTTTCCCAACAGTATTTCAGTCATATAGGCGGGTAGTTTCCTAACCATTGTTCTTGGAGAGTTACACCATAACTAGACTGCCTCCCTCCGTGCTAAACTACCAAAGCATCTCCCAGAGATAGAACCCACGCCAGAGAGGTAAATGGATTAGAAGTCATCGACTCTAACCCCTCGACCAAGGAGACAGTTCAAAAATCTATATAAAAGTATATATAATAAATATATATATATATATATACATGTATATATATAGAGAGAGAGAGAGAGGTGACGAAGTTTCTATAATTAAAATACTTACTATCTATTCAAACATTTTTTTTGTAACTGAGCCTTCCTTCAAATTGCTAGAACTGGTAACCTTGAATTTGACAACCATAGCAATAGTCATGACATTGACTATTCTATTCCTGTAAAATACAAATATTTATTAATACACTTTATTTTACAATTTATAAAATCATTACACAGCATAACATGCATATAAAACTAAAAGATTCAACCAGGTTTAAATGCTCTTTTGCATATAAACCAAACTGTTGTAATGCTATATGCACAATATGGCTGTATGTTCCATCAACAACAATTAGTCTGTTAATTCACTCACCTCTTGCAATATTTTTTTTTAATTCTAAATTTATAGAGCGTTCTTATAATAGAGGTGTGTATATTTAAAGTTTGAAGTAGATACATTAAGAAAAAGGAAGTTTCTTAAAAAAAGAAATAAAAAAAATTATAATTCAAATTCTAAGTACAAGGGGGTAATTCTGATAATTTTGGTACTAGAGTAAAGAACCTAGTCCAGGCTTTCTACTGCCTCTACCAAAAAAACTAGGGAAAAAGTAGGGCATATTTTTACCAAAAAGTAGGGCAAAGTAGGGATTTCTGATGTTAAAAACTAGGGATAAAGTAGGAATTTCTTACCGTTTTAGTTAAGAATTAGCAAAACATACCATCACCGAGACCACATCAGGCTGTGTGTATCTTCAGTTCAGTCCATGCTTGAAAGACAGGCACCTCATAGGCAGAATGTTGCTGAATGTTTTGCCAAGGCACCATGAGCAGAGCTGCATCAGTACTAAGGGTGTAGTACTTAAGTACCAGTACCAGTACTTGCCAAGTTTTGCAGTACCATTTCCAGTACCAGTACTTGATTTTAGCTTGGTACTGCAGTACCAGTACTTTTTTTGGGGAAGTAATTAAGTACCAGTACTAATACTTTTATATATTCATCAAAGTTTGAATAAATACACAGTGTCATTCAAAATAATTGCAAACATTATTCAACAAAGAAATAAAATCATTTACTTTAAAGTTGACATTACATTTTTACAACTTAAATGAACAAACATACTTTTTACAAACAATAATCATCATATATTCATGTCATATGTTATTGTTTAGTTACCAGTCAACTGTAATACAATGCAATAATCTTACATTTTAAACCCACCAGTCTTTTTGTTGCCTTTTACACCTTCACACCTCTGTTCAATTTATACCAAAGTAAATAACTTTTTTATGGTGCTAACAATATCACTTGAAATATGATTATTTAGAATAGAAGTAATTAATTAGTGTTTATTTTGCTCCTGTTTTTACTAGTAAATACAAAGTAATAAGATTGCAATAAGGATATTTTACCAGTAAAGAGTTATTGACTCTGTTTATCTCAATTTAATTTTACTTTAAGTCTTTGGTGCTTTTTTATGATGAATAATATGTTAACATTTGAAGGAATATTGCAGCAAATTATTTATAGATTTGATAACTTACTTTTTCACAAAAATAAAATAATACATGGAATTTACATCTTTACTTTATGAGTAAAAATAATGACATTTTTATCAAAACCAAAAATACTGCCTAGTAATGCAGTAGCAGTACCATTTTTTTAAGACAGTAATGCAGTACCAGTACCTGAGTAGTAGCAAAATTTTGTAAAAGTAATTCAGTATCAGAACCAGTACTTGCAAAATTGCTCCAGTATATACTGCAGTACCAGTACCAGTAATGCAGCTCTGACCATGAGTCTTTCAAGGATGGACATCACAAGGAGACACTAACACACCTTAACTACTCATCTATTGCAACTGAAAATACAACTGAAATACCATTTTAAATATCTTCTTTTTTTCATTTCATTTCAAAATGAAAAAGTAGGGATAATAGGGCTATTTCAGAAAAAAGTAGGGCAAAGTAGGGATCAAAAGGAAAAAGTAGGGAAAAGTAGGAAAAGTAGGAAAAGTAGGGACCAGTAGAAAGCCTGCTAGTCACATATAATATGCTTGATGATCATAAAAATATTTCAAGTCTGAAGAAAATACCTAAAGGAATGAAGAAGTTATAGTGAAAAAGATTTTACTCTGTAAAAATTAAATGCAGTTGCCAATGCTGAATCAATAGGACAGCTCTCAATATGCTCCCTGTAAGGCTTCCAATGTTGTGTATAATCTACATAATGCAATCTATCCATATTTAAAATTTCACAAAAATATTTCTATACTTCTTGAATTTATCACAATTGTTATTTTAGCTATATTTTAAGTCAACTTGTTGCCATAGCAACAAAACCTTTAAACATAGGAAGGATCAGTGACAATATTTTTCCGCATTCCCTTCCAAAGTTATTCAAAGAATTTGATTCTATACAGAAACCTTGGAAACCTTTAGGAATTATTAAGATCAGTGACAATATTTTCCCACATTCCATTTCATAGAAAAAAAGTTAATTTGTATAACTATGATTATCATGTATAGGCTAAAGTTTATAAGTATTTACAAAATTAAATTGGTCAGGCGCGCACAGCCACGTGACAAATTTTTTTATGTTAATCGAAATATATAATAAACTTAAACCAGCTTACAGTGTTTTAAATTATTTTTTATAAACAGTAGATTTACTACACCGATTAACAGTTTGTTGATTTACCAAAGTAAATATTATGTTACTATTCATTTGAAATACTGCAATCCTTTTGGACAAAAAAATAATTTCGAACACTTAACAAGTTAGAAGTACAGGTAGCCATCCAATCTGTACTTTGCATTTTAATTAAATATCATATTTTAGCATTTTAATCTTTTAAGCAATATGTTTGTGTTCAACAGTGAACTATGATGCACGACATTTTCTATCATCTTGAAATAAGTTAAAAGGTGGTGTGAAATTCTAAAATCAGCACAATTCTGATGAAAAATTGAAATAAACAAAAACCTTTTCAACAAAAAGAAATTTAGTTACTGTTACTTACTTTCCCATGAATCGGGAATAACAACTGTTTATAGGATGAATTAAGTGACACTAACTATAATTTATAGGAAAAAAGACGGAAGGCATTCTTTTCCGAATCTAAATAAGCATTTAATAACCAGCTTTTTCCCTTAGGAAATTAAAGATGACTTCTAAATCCTTTGATACTTAGACCCACTTTTACATTCCCCTGTGACCTTGACCTTTGACCTCAAAAGCAATAGGGGTCATCTACTCAGCATAACTAACGTCCATGCCAAATATAAAGACTGTGGGTCAAAGGAATCTTAAGTTATTGGGAGGACAAGCTATTTGAAGTCAAGGCCCCTGTGACCTTTGTTTCATTTTACGCCTTTCCCCCAACAGTATGTCAGTCATATATGCGGGTAGTTTACTAACCATTGTTCCTGGAGAGTTACACCAGTAATAGATTACCTTCGTCTGTGCTAAACTACCAAAGCATCTCCAGGGGATTGAACCTACTCCAGAGGGGTAACTGGATTAGAAGTCATCAACTCTGACCTGTGCCCTCAAAATCAATAGGGTTCATCTACTATTCATGACCAATCCAACTACCAAATATGAAGACTTTGGGTCAAAAGATTTTTAAGTTATTGTCGGACAATGATAAACCGAAGGACTGCCAGACGAAGAGATGGTTGGACTTCCGGATGGACAAGCTGATTCCAGAATACCCCCTTACAACTTCGTTGTGAGGGGATATAAAAAGTAAATAGAAGAAAAAAGGACTCACATTGACTTCTCTACTAAAATTAATAGGGGTCTTTTACCTAATATGGACAATCATCCTATGAAGTTTGAACATTGTGGGTCAATTGGAACTTAAGTTATGCTCCGGAAACTGTTTTCAGTATTAAGGTCATAGTGACCTTAACCTTTAACCTTTTGACCCCAAAATCAATAGGGGTCTTCTACCCAATATGGGCAATCATCCTATGAAGTTTGAACATTGTGGGCCAAATGGAACTTAAGTTATGCTCCGGAAACCAAATTGCTAACAGACGGACGGACGGACAGACAGACGGACGCCAGGGGGTATAACATAATATGCCCTTTCGGGCATATAATAAAAATAACAAGGGTGCCATAGTCACAAAATACGCCCGTTTACGAAAAAGCTTTAGATGGAGATGGGGGCATTATGGATAAGTGTTATCTAGCAAGCAAGTTTTTATTCCTGGCACTGTGTTGTTAAATGAACCTTAAAACAAATCAATAGGGAAGATATGCACAGAATGTGTGACCTTGACCTTGGTCGCAGGGACCTGAATTTTATGCACGGCACTCAGCCTCACAATGATGAACATTTGTGCCAAATTATATTGAAATCCCTCTATGCATGTAGAAGTTTTGCTCCAGACAAGTGTTTTTCTATGAGCTCTAACTGTGACCTTCACCTTTGACCTAGAGACTTGGTTTATGTGCAGGGCACTACGTCTCATGGTGGTGAACAATTCTATAAAAGTAACATTAAAATTCCTCCATGCATGTAGAAAATATGCTCCGGACAACATCTGGATATTTAATCATCTCCAGTGACCTTGACCTTGCAAATATTAACCTAAATTAAATGTGTAACACCTGTAGTCATGATAGTTACCATTTGTGCTACAATCCATCAATAAATGATGACTAAATGGTCCCTATAACCATCTTCAAATTTTTATCTGAACTTTGACCTCTATGTGTAACCTTGACTTTGGTCGCAGGGATCTGAATTTTGCATGCGACACTCAGCCTCACAATGACAAAATCTGGATATTTCACCATCTTTAGTGACCTTGACCTTGCATATATTGACCTAAAGTACATGTGTCACAGCCGTAGTCATTATAATGACCATTTGTGTTACAATCCCTCAATAAATGATGATTAAATCGTCCCTATACACATCTTCATATTTTTATCTTTTTTTAAACGGGCGTATAAAAAGTACATGTAATTTAATAACTAAAAAATTCTGATTTAAGATTTTATTCTAGGGAAATACATTTCATTACAATTCTTAATCTTTGAATGAGCTGAACTGATATTTACTTGAAAATTAAAATATAATTAAATTTCTATGAGAAAGTATTTACATTTGATAAGGTAATTACTGTATGATCTTTATGAACAAATACCAAGTCTACAGAACA